AGAGCCTCAAAAGCAGTTTCATAAACGAAATTTTTAAATATTCGCATTTTTTTAAAAAATTCTTTATTTTAGTTACATAAAAAAGATTTACATGTTACACTTGATCTTGAATTTTGATTGGTTTTTCTAATACTTTTGTACTACCTAGTGTATTGACACCTTGTGTCCAAATAGAAATTGCCTTATTTTATTATAGGCAAATACAAAAAAGCATTAGAAATTCTAATACAACTGTTAGATACTATACAAAACAATATATTTGCATTAAGGTATCATGGAAAAACTTATCACATGTTGGAAGAATATGAAAAATCAATTGCTGATTTGAATAAATTATTAAAAATTAAACTAGATGATGAATAGGCTTTGAAGGTTTTCAACACAGTTAAGAATAAGATGAATATTAAATTTGTACAATAAAGATATGATGCTACACTTTCTGCTTTGACTGAACTTGTGTGTTTTGCTGAGCAATTTGAATTAAATTTTATCTTTGATAATATCTTAGACAAAGTTATTAAATTATTTGTATGCACTAGAAATTTTTAGCTAGATTATATCAACAATTGACATGTGACCAAATAACTTTTTTTTATATTTGAATTTTATCTCTAAGTTGCTAAAAAGAGAAACAGATTTACATATAGCATATAAAAAATATATATTACATACTTTTGTAGCTGCTAGTAGTGATATTGTAAAATTATCTGAGAATGAAAAGTTGCAAATGCAATAATTGAATGAGATAAGCAATTTGATAAATTATTTTTGAATAAGAGAAGATATATCAAAGACTAATTTATTATTCTAGAATACTCATAAATTTCTATACCTGTTATTAGAATTATATGAGAATATTGTGTTAAAGGTTGTGCTGCTAATAAATTTTTTATCTAAATATGTATATTTGTTCTTAATTTTTATTGATAATAGTAAAGATGGAGAAGATAATAGTGATGAAGATGATAGCAAAAATAATAATAATAAAAATAATAATGCTAGTAAAGATGATAATAAAGCTATACAAAGTTGATTTTTATTTTGCATTATATAGAATCAAAAAATTGAGTCAGTTAGTTGATTTTTTTTTTAATTTTTTTATATTTTTTTTTTTTTTTTAACTATTGAAGTTGCTAAAGAAAAACCAGATCTTGGGTTTACAATTTTATTTGTTGCTGACATGTTTTAGTTCAGTAAATTATAGATTTTAAAAATCTAAAATCTGGTTTTTTCTTGAAATCTTATCAGATAATTCTAGAAAATTATAGTTATTATTGAGTAATACTAGATAATAAAGATCAAAAAATTAAATAGCAAAAATAGAATAATTAGCATAATTGGAACTCAAAAAAAAAAAAAAAAAAAAGATTTTGAAAAATTTGGATCAGCAGGTAATACAAAATAAAAATCAACTTTGCATGACCTAATGATAATAATAATGATAGTAAAGATAATAATAAAAATAGTAGCAAAGATAATAATAAAATTGATAGTAAAGATGATAATAATAAAAATAAAAGTAAAGAAAAAGAAGATATATTTCTGCTAAATAAACTGATTAAGAAATTATCTGATATATTTTTTCTGACAGTAATTCTAAAGATGAAGCTAATACTGATTCAGAATATGAAGAATCTTATAATGATAGTATGAATGAAGAGTCTAATAGTAAACTTATGAATAATAATACTAAAGATAATAAATTAAACAGTAAAATGAACTATCAGACAATTTTGTATGTTAATTAATAGATTCTAACAAAGAAGATAATAAATCTGATGATAGCAATATAGTTGAAAAATCAAACTATAACAAGTTAACAAATAATAATAGTGATAATAAAGATGATAAATTAGATAACAAAATTGCAGTTATAGATAATGATATAAAGAATATCTTAATTAAAATTTGTAAAAAAATTTAGCTTACTACTAATACTTCAAACAAATTTTTATATACACATTAGTGATAAACAACTTTGTCTTTTACTATATATAAAAGTAGTTAATAATAAAAAGTTTAATTAATAGCAATACTATATTGGAATATCTTATTTATTGTTAAATAAATATGTACTATATTTAGACTTATATTTCTTATTAAAGATTGTAGATACAATTACAGACTTGGATTTAAATACTACTAAAACTTATAAATGTAATTATAAAATATGATGATAAGTTTATATATTTGCAAAATTTGCTACAAATTTAGATAAATATATATTTGGTAATATAATGAATGAGAGAAACTTATTATTGAATAATAGAAAGACAAACTAAATATTAGCTAACTAGAATTTAATAAACTATTTGGTAAATTTTTAAATACAAAAAACTCTACTACTATTTTAGCAATTGCTAAAATCATGAATTTTTTTAAAAAACATATATTTCCATTATTTGATAAGGATAGAAAGATTATGGATAAAGAAGCAAAAGATGATTTAATAAATACCTTATTGAAATTTATTAAGAAATTTGAATTAATGCTGATTATAAGAAACTTTGTTTCTTATTGTATGTTAATTTTTCAATATTAAAGTTTTATTACAAAATTAATTTTTTTGTTCTCATAAGCTATAAAATTTGATTTTATATTAAAAAAAATGTAAAAACTTGTTTCAAAAACTATATCTTAAACTTTATTAGAAATAAAATAAAAAGAATAAATTTAGGTTATAAGAACAAAAATAACTTTATTAACTTAATAATTTTTTTATAATTTTATATATTTAAATTGTAGAAACGATTTATTAGACTTTTGTTTCAATATTAAAAACTTTTATTCTACAAATTGAAAATGAATTATATAATAATAATGATAATAGTAATAATTCTACCTATAGTAAATGTTCAAGGTGCAGATATATAGAAGTATAATTGAATAGATTCTATTTAACAAGTAAGATAATATACAAAAGGTGTATTTAACAATATCTATAAAGTAACTTAATTAGATAGTATATATAAAATTAAAGGCAATGCTAGAAATTACATAAGGTCCTATAGATAATATACTGTTGTGCTTAAAACTTTGCTAGAAAATATAACAAATTCTGAAGATTTCTTAAGAGAGGTAAGTTGAAATCATTTCTTGATTATAAATTTAAATACTCATATTTACTAATTTATTATTTCAAAAGTTCAAAAACTACACATATTGCAGGCTAAAAAGCTATAAACTAGACATATATAGATTAACATATGAATTGATACCAGACATATAAACTAAAAGTTATTTATAATATTTTAATATACCAACAGAGGAAATCTTAAAGATTATTTGAGTTAAATTTTAATAAACTTATATAGGAAATTAAATTACAACTACTTGTATATATTTTATATAATTTAGTTCGAATTCATAAGCAGAATATTTTTAGAGTGACTTTTATAGCAAGTATTTTTTGGGTACAAGTATATATTGCAGATCTAGGATTGTCAAGAATAAAAAAATAAAAATGAGAAAGATTCTCTTTATAGATTTCTATTGTATATTGTACCAGAAGTTGTTATTAACCAACAATATATACTAGCAACTGATATCTATAGCTTTAGAGTTATCATAGCTTTGATATCAAATGAAAATATCTTATTTGATGAAACTTCTAAAAATAAACATGTGAAACTTATGCTTAACAAATCAAAAGGTTAAACCCAGATTTTGTATCTGAAATACCAGATTGTTTAATTTTTAATAATTTATTCAAATCAGCAATTGATTTTTCATATTCTTCCAACATG